GGATGAAGATACTCAATACCAGCCTCTTTAAGTAGTTCTGGGTGAAGATACTCAATACCAGCCTCGTTAGGTAGTTCTGGGTGAAGATACTCAATACCAGCCTATTTAGGTAGTTCTGGGTGAAGATACTCAATATCAGCCTCTTTAAGTAGTTCTGGGTGAAAATACTCAATACCAACCTATTTAGGTAGTTCTGGGTGAAGATATTCAATACCAGCCTATTTAAGTAGTTCTGGGTGAAGATACTCAATACCAGCCTCTTTATAGTATTCATTCCATTTACAATAGAGGTCGTTTATCAATATTCATTTTAAAAGCTGTAAGTAAACGTCTTTTACAGACTTGTTCAAAATGATCATTGAGAATTGAAAATGCTTAAAAAAAGATTAACAATAAAATAATAGGAATTAAATTAATATTAATTTGGAATTAGAGCGAGCTATGTACTTTAAACCAAACGAAAATCAACCTAGTAATGGGCATAGCTAATTAAGTATATATTTCTTATGTTCTTACTTATAAAGATTAGAATGTCTTATTCCATCACTTGGGTACCATCACTGTTTACGAATAATTAAATGGTATTACCACTAGAGCACCCATGTCTGACCCTCAAGAAATAAAATAACTGGAATTTGTTTTCAAACTAACCTCACACTCTTCTCTCATAAGGAGAAAAATTTCATTATCGTTGCTTTCGATTGTTTCTGTCTAACATTGCTAATAAACGGTTGAGATACTGAACACCAGATGGCATAGTTACCTAAATTAAATTGTAATGTGACTGTTACCTATACTTTTATTGCCCGAAGAAGATTAAGTAGTTGGAAGCTTGCAATAATAACAAAACACACACACACACACACACAAAAACAACAACAACAACGACAAAAAACGTAGTGAATGTCTGATAGCTTTGTTTATTTACCACAAAAGGTAATATAGTATATTTCTTACTTCGACAGAAAAATATGTGCATTACCAAAAATATTAGCACAAGTATATTACATATTTGAACACTATGAGACCTTGAGAAGTGCAGACATAACTTCAAAATGTTTGCTTATCAATGACCTATCATTTATATTTTATCAATGCTCTAAAAAGTAAAATAATATATAATAGAACTTGAGAGCTGTAAAACGTTCTTATACACACTGTAGTAAATTAAATTACCGATAGAGGGGGGAGGCTTGCAACTTTGCATGATTCTGTGTTCTGTTGCTATAACAATTTTCAGAAATTAAATTATAACAATAAAATATTCATCACTTTGGTGGCTCAATATTAACCTCCTACACAAAATTTTGCGGTTTGATTTAAACATTGTGCAACTTTGCGCTTTACAACAACCAACCAGACAGTGTTATTACATTTTTTAAGCATCATTAAGTTGAATATATCAAAGGATTTTAAAAAATCCAGTTAGTTTGTTTGTTGTAGAAAAATACAATTGTTCCTTCATTCTCTATTATCACAACAGAAAAGTTATTCTTAATTTTTTGTTGAAAGGAAATGTACCATTGGTTTAAACGTACGATATAAATCTTAGTTTCTGAAGTTCCAACTTTCGAGTAAAAACGATCAAAGTTTGTATTTTGTTCTTTGCTTTATGGTTTCAGAATTGAAGATCTACGGGTAGCGTGCTTATCTTCTGTTAAGAGCTGGATTTTAGCATAATGGCAAAAGATTCTAATAATTTAAGGTAGAATTCTTCCCGGAAATGTAGAATCAGGCGGAATAATTGGAAGTAGGCATAATGTCACTTTAGTTTAGACACTGTGTGGTAATGTTACTGGTGTAGTAGGTTTTAGCGCTATTTGTTTTTTTATTTAAAATGTCAAGTCGAAAGCGCAAATCAAGTTCAAACACGCACCACGCTTCCTCACAGACTGAGACTGGTGCGATTTAGTGGTTAACATGTGAAGTTCCAGAATGAAGGATTCAGACTCTTTGCGTAATGTCATTGAACATACTCCGTTGTAGGTGAATTATAAAAGCAACAGTCAATTCCGTTATTCGATTTAAGAAGTCGCACAAACCCTTGTAGCGGCGAGTGTTGCTGGCTATCTTCCCTTTGTTCAACAGTTAAAAATTAGGGACAGCTGCATCTGAGTCTCTGACCCCGCTGTTTAGCTCATATGTACATAAAGTGGCGTTTGTATTGAATCTTTCAATTCCTTTGCAGGTTATCTATAACCTGGAGATTAATTTTAATATTCTGATTTTTTGTTTTATTTTAATTTTTTTAATTGTTGCGTCAGCGAGGTCACGCCACCTCTTTCTAGAAATATCCTGTTCCTTCAAGAATGCCCTAGCATTTACTAGATATGTGTTAGTCTTGTATATATAAGACGCTCACAACGTGACGGAACAACAGTGTAATGAGTAATTGAACTGCGGTCAGAGAATGTGTAATTGAACGGAGTATTGTTGAAGTCGAGCTCGTGAGACGTTTGTTATAGCGCGACTGTTGAAATTGACTGTATCGCAAAGTTATTTTCAGAAAGAATAAACCAGTTTTATTTAAAAAAGGATTTGTGTCGCTAAAGTTTCGTCGGAACGAATTTACGGAAAATTAACTAACGACTGGAGGCGTAACAATATGTCTCCCACTAAAGAATAGTAAATCTTATCACCATTAAAACAACGACGTCCATAAATTATTTGACGGCGGTAGATCACCGGAAAATGGTTTAAAGGTTGTTTCTCTGATGATTCCCATCATATAATAATTATCAGACATTTCCATAATTTGTAATGACCGTTTTTAAATGTGACTGAGGCGTATTATACTTGATTTACTTCCCAGAGATACATTTCAAAGACGAAAATATTTTTTGTATTTAATTTTGAGTATTTTAAGAAAAGCTGATCTCATAGTGGCATTCAACGTAGTATTAAAGTGACAAAGCCTGTAATATTTTAATTTTGGAAAAGTTTAAATTTGTATTTTATTTCTTTAGCTCGATTTTCCAGCACTTATAACGCAAGAGGGCTCATTTTCCCGCCAAATAAAAGAGACCTTAAAATCGCGCCGAGTTTTTAAGTCTCTTCGCATCAGGCGTTACAGGTATCTGTAGTCTCGAAGTAAGTTAGAGCATTGCTTCAACTATATAAAACAAAATGTCGAAAATCTGTGAATATGAGAAATTGCGTGAACAAAACATAAAAGAAAAACAAGCGATGTTAGATTCGATTATGGCAGAATTTCAGGATCTTCGAAAGGAAGTTAACAGAAGTTTTCCTGCTAAAACTAGGACTAGGACGCCTACCAGAACATATGATGAGAAGGATCCTACCTTTCACCCGGGATTCTATGAAAGACGACGGAACCCTCCTAGAACTGCAGCCAAACGACTTTCTGCTGTGCCAACTACAAACATTGTTACAAGGAGTAGAAAGTCAACTTCAGTTGCATCATCTCCTCAGTCATCACCAGAAAACAGTCCCAGTAAACTTTTCGTCAGATTCAGTTTCAGAAAAAGTCTAAACATGGTAAATTATTCCGACGAGGATATTTCTTTGGAAGTGTATGATGATGAAGAAGCATTACCAAAAGTTAAACCACGTGTAACTGAAAGACCAAATCGTCCTGTAGCAGAGCGACAGATAATTGCAGCGGAAGACATCACCGAACAGGATCTGGCTAGGGTAGCAGATTATGTCAGTGAAAAACAGTATGATTGTAATAATGGCACCACTTGCCACCAGTGTCGCCAGAAAACAAAGGATATGAAAACGATTTGCCGATCAGAAACATGTGTTGGTGTGAGAGGCCAGTTTTGTGGGCCATGTCTAAGAAACCGCTATGGTGAAGAAGTAAGGTCTGCCCTGAAAGACCCTCTTTGGGTTTGCCCAGCATGTCGAGAGATTTGTAATTGTAGCTTTTGTAGAAAAAAGGCTGGTCATGCCGCTACGGGTATTCTTACCCATCTTGCTCGGGAAAGGGGTTTCGACAACGTTAAAGATTTCCTGGAGTACGTTGAAAAGTAAATCACTAAATGTTTATATCAAATTCACAGTTGAAATTACCATTCTGTTTTATAACATTCGTTTTTAAAACTTGGTTGTTTCTTAGTTTAGCATGTTTCATTTCACAGCATTAGTAGTAGTTTTTTTTTTCGTCACTGATCTTAGTAATTAGAGAAAAAAAACTGAGTATGTCCTATTGAAATAAAATGTAGCATGTTACTGTGTAATGTAACTTCTTAATCATTCTTAGCAAACTATTTGGATATTTTAACAGTTGACAGGTTTTGAATTACTTTGAGTGGAGCCTTTAATGCATGTCTTTAACTAGATTTTTGCTTGTATATTTACCTGTAAACTTTAATGTAATAAACAAAAAAAGGAAATTCTCAGTAAGCCTATTTTCAGGCTGAGTTGAGGCCTGATTATTAAAGTTATAAAAAAAGTTAAGGAATAGAAAAAACTTATTAGATACTTCAGTATATTTAGAAAGATTTTAAAACAGGTTATAATTTTTAAATAAATGAGATTCTTTAACTTCAGATAATGTATAGCTTTAGTAGTGATTTAATAGATTTTTAATATTTTATACATAAAAACATAAAAGTGTATTTGAAGCTTTTGACTAGAAAGTTAGGTCTAGTTCCTACACTTATTTTTTTTAAAGTTTGATTTCAATGACTTGATTACTTGGCTGTTTTCATGTACATTCTACTCTGTTGTTCAGATGTTGAAAAAATAAAATTTGAATTTTATATTAAAAATGTACTTTTTTATGTTTTTTTTTTCCCAGTTATTGGTCATTAGGGTTCCAGAATCTGTCAGAACACACAAAAACCACTTTGCAGTTACTTAGCTAATTTTTTAGATTTTCTCAAAGTGTATAGCTTGCTCTGATTGGAAGTTAGTGTTAATTAGTAACTGATGTAATACTTTATAAATTAATTACTTTCTTTGTGATAAACGATTTTAATTCTAAATTACCGGTTTTCAAATAATATTTAGTAACTACAAACAAAAAAAAGTTTAGAAAGCCATTACATGTTCTTTTACTTACTGTAATGTAAAAAACAGGAATAACAGATTCGTTAAAGAATGTACAAATGAATAATATTCTTTATACATTAATTAATATGATGATGTGTTATTATTTTTATGAATTGCATAAAGTGCTTTAAATTTTTGAATAAAAGACAAAGAATACATTAACGTGTCTACATAAATACTATAAAAAAAGCTTCCATTTAGATATGTCTATTAATTATATAAGTTTTTTGTCTTGTGTCTTCTGGAAGAACTTTCATCAAGAATCTTTAAATACTGTACTATCTGAAGTAATTATGCATTTGTTTTAATATTTATGTTTGGTTTTAGAAAGGTGTTTAGATACTTGGATGTAAACTTCACATGCTCTATTGTAAGGTTTGGGTAACCTGTTTAGAGTAGGGAACAGCATGTTTCTGTTTAATACTGGGTGTGTGCTGCATCGGCATCTGAATGGTTGGTCAAATGAGCTCTGATTTGTCGAATATGATGAACCAAAAGTATGTTGAGATTTCACCAAACGTAAATCTTGGTAGCACTTGACAACTTTACACAATATTCATCGAACAGCTCAAGTCTAACTATTTAAAAAGAATGGCCTGAAAAACAAAAGATGCAGAAAATCCCTCCCCCCCCCTACACTAATAATTTTCACAATTACAGGAAATGATACAATTTTGTGCATGTCAAATTAACTCGAGCTGGGAAAAACCAGCATATGGTCTGATAATCAAGTGTGAGAACACGTATGTATTCATTATAAACGTTGATATTCATTAGAAGCTTTAAGGGAAGTGATAATATTCAAACTGAGAATATTAAGACATTTCAGTTGTAAACCGTGTTAATAATTTGTTGTGTGTAAGATATATTTTATACTAGTATCTCGTGTGTTTGACCATATTCTATGTCCGAAGGTGATCAGAGAGTTGATGTTTACCTTTTGAGTCTTGAAATCGTTAGAATGTTTATAATATGCACGTTTATTGGTTACGTTATTCAAGTTTCAGTAATATTAATTTTTAAAGAAGTAAACAAATAATAAACTTTAACAAGATCTTTGTCAACATTATAACTACATTAAATAATATCAAACAATACATTTAAGAAGCACACGTATATAATAAGTACACTGTATCCTACTCACAGAGGTGATTAATAGTGATTGCTGAAGTATCTTATGTTGGATGATAGCTTCTTAATTTCTATACCATTAAAAATCCCCTGAAAAATAATGATATGTAAATTATTAGTTAGGTACAATACAGTAAGGGGGGGGGTATCTATAAACTGTGGTGTGTCCATAATTTTTACTGGCAGAACGATATTTGATTCACAGTTTTCATTCATTCTCCATATTTGACTGTTGTTCCTGTACTGTATGTACTTTCGTGTATAGATAGGTATATGTAAAAACATTTTAACAGCTTTGTAAATATTAGCATCGAAAGGAAGGACTGCATTATAAACAAGACCAAACCTATGATAAAAAAAGACTTTTTTAATTATCAAAACAAGCCTTAACAATTACAACAAAAACACTGGATATATTAAAAAAATGACCAGGGCACAGGCTGTAATGTGAGATATAAGATCTGCCCTGGATTTGGAAGGTGACTGTGGAAGTAGGAGTTATGTAGCATCGGGGATAGGCAATCTACCAGTTTTAATCTCCATTCACTAGTCTTGCATGTTAAAGGAAGAATATAAAATATACCAGAAAAATGAAAACCGTTAGGAGAGCAAGATGTGGGTGCTTGTGACCCACACCTATATCACCCTTCACAGTCTGTACATAGTGATGGGAAGGTGGCTACTCTCCAAGGAAATGCAAGATAAACAAGATCCTACCATTGAGGGGAACCTTACCTCCAGCCCCCCAATATGAGAGTAAGAGATAATATTAGTAGAACAGAGGACAAATGATGCTAGTATTAAAACCCAGCCAAGTTATTTGAACTACTGCAGTATAACTCCTAACCTCCACCCATTAAGTTAACTTGTAGAGTCTATTGTAACATGCGAGACTGGTAGACGGAGTTATCCCCTCCGCTATAAGAGTCCTATTCAGCACTTACCCCAAAAACTCAGACACATCTTATAGCTCGTGCCCTGGTGATCTTTTTAATATATGCAACGTTTTTGTTGTTAAGGCTTGTTTTGACAATTAAATTATAATATAAAAATGAAGTATATATTAGTTATAACTTATAAATTCTGTATGATGCATAACTTGCAGTAATTAACGTACGAATTACCCATTACGATTCTTACACTGTAAGTTAGGACTAAACCTTTTTCTTTGAATTTCTGACAAAGTTCAGATAAAAAAATGACTTTATCCAAAGTTTTCTACGGCAATCTTATTTCTTTGGAGCACTATAGAAGATATCAACCTATTCGTACAATAAATAACTCAAAAAGATACAAGTTACAACCATAATTAAATGTTGATAATCAACTACTACGCGCGATTTGACGTGTCCGCCATTTATAAATAACCAGTCTTGCCAACAAATAGTATTACGTGACGTCACAGGGAAAATGTAATATTTTATTATATGTGAACCTGAAGTAATGATTATAACTTTAAGAATAATGTGGAATGTAGATTAAGCACAGTTATCCGAAGTGGTATGAAAAGTAATACTCTCAAGTCAAGTAGTTAGTACACGCGAATTAGGTTATCAAAATAGCATCTTACAAATTAAAACGAATTTTAGGGATTACCTTTAGAAAAAAAATGCAAAATTTAGGTACATTATGTAAGCTGCTTCGATAAAATATTTTCGCATTTATATAGGTGCTCAGTTATGCCAATAAATAACTCCCCTTCTATTCAGTGGGAAGTGCCGGTTTCCGGTTGCCTTTGGATAAGCGCGCAGCAGAGATGGAACCTCCAGTGTGCTTACGTTGGTCTTGGTGATGGCACGTGACCTGCTCGCGATAATTAATCATATATTCTTAGATGTAGGAACAACGTTAAAAAATCGCGTTCAATTTATTGTTGGAACCCAATCTTGTAGCCTGATTGTTTTTATGGTCTTCCGGTAGAGTTTGAACCACTGGTAAGTTTACCACATAAGCTGCATTTAGACACTAGGGTTACCAGGCTTGTAATTTTAAGCGTCAGCGAGACTAGCTTGGGTGGGGCAAGTGATATTGGCGGGTTGTAAAAAGTTCTGTGGCTATCATTACTATTAGTTGCTTGTTTTATCTTCTGTAGTAAGAAAAAAGTGGTGATCCTTCCAATCCAACTCAAACAAAATTGAAACAGTTTTTTTAAGGACGCTTAAATATATACCATGCCTGTGTGAACTTTCAAAAGTTTATGATCTACCAAACTAGTATTTGGCAAATAGTGAAAATATTGAGTGCTGTAGAACTGTAGCGTAAGAGTATCAGGTGATGTGCAGGTTTATATCAATGTATCATGGCGTGGAGCTGTGAGGAGTTACAAGAGTAAGGTTTATATATATTATATTAATATAACATGGTGTAGAGATGTTAGAATATTTTGCAGCTGTAATTTGTAAAAACCAATGGTAAACATCTCTTTCAAAGTTATCACACTTGATAATTTATTATATTCATGGTTTTCTCTTTTAGATGTGTAATTTTTTATTGATTCATGTCAAACAGACAAAAACAATATTTGTAGCATTTAATCTAAAGTTGATATTTGGATACATTTGAGCTCAGTTCTTTTGTTAATGTGTGTGTTATTTTAATGGAAATTGTTATATATAAACTATGGATATTTTGATAAGCTTGTGGCATTCCAGGACGTGAATTAAAATTAAACTTGGTCGTTGATGATTGATCATAGCAGAAGCAGGATGTTTCAAGATGTAACAAAGAGAAGTACAAGAGTAGCAGTTTATTGATAGAAAAATACAAAACTTTAACTACAAACACTTGATAAATATCACAAGTGAAGAAAACAGAGGGTCATGATGAGTAGCAGGAATTTAAGTAAGAGAAGCTGTTGGCAAGCAAGAACACTACAGATAAAACATTTCTTTAATCAGTCGTTTTGGATTTTATAAATTCCATCATCACTGGTGATCTATAATGGAAACAAACTAAAAGAGAAGGGCCACTAGGATGGAGGGGTTATCATGTTAGGAGAGATTAAG